AAAATACTCAGTTACTTTCCAGCCTAGATTCAGAAATGTCATTCATTGTTATTTATTCGTGTTATTCCATGTTAGAGACATCAAAGACTAATAACCTGGTTAAGGATGGAGATGATTCACATGACAGAGTCGTGATAAATTCAGACCTGTGAGACTGGAGGCTTCAGATTACAGCAGGAACTTCGTCCTGTCACTCATTTTTAAATAAAGTTTCATTGAATTAAAGCATGTGACCGTGAGCGTTTGTCCTGCAGATTACTTTTTATGAGGGGAAGTGCTTCACCGGCAGGAAGCTGGAGGTCAGAGGTGACTGTGATAACTTCCAGGACCGCGGCTTCATGAACAGGTAACTTCCTGTTTTCAGGTGTTTGCTTTCTCTTTTTTTCTTTATTGAAGACATTTGAACCTGAACTGAGTCAGAGCAGATCTTCAGTCGCACCTTCAGTTTCTCTGAGCTCAGAAACCAGAGTCTGACTGATCAGCTGATCAGAGGAAACGTGACCGCTGGTTTTATGTAATACCGCTCTGAGCCACGAGGGGGCGCAGCCTGTCAGTGTAACTGTAAGCAGGTCATGAAGTCATGAAGAGTACAACAAATGTCAGAAACTGAGAGAACTGCAGCGCACATCTGGAAACATATGAGTGTGGAATCGCTGCCCCCTGGTGGTCACATTTATATTCAAACTGTGTGGACGAAACTGTTTCTGCTTTCAGCTTCTGAAATTCAGGTGAGAGCTAATATTCCTAACGAACCTCTGAATACTGATACGAGGTCAGCTTGTGTTTCAGTAACTTGTTAAGATTTTTCTAATGACATCAATGAAAACACAGAAGAACAGAAGATTTGTGATTTCTGGCCGTACAGGAAGTCTAAACTTTTAATTTTTAGTGACAAATAGAAACACATATCAGAAATCTGATGTTCTGCAAACTTAAAGATGTGAATTTGATGACCAACAGTTTTCACTAACAGCACAAACTCAGACTGAAGTCCGTCCACACAGAAACCATTTTCAGCACTTTTTTTCTGACCTTATCAAACATTCAGTCGCTCTTCATCAGAGGAGAGCACGAGGCCGACATCATCATCATCATGGTCAGGATAAACTGGAGCTCTTGGTGTAAGTGCTTCCTGTTTCCTTCAGCTGATCATCACGTGGGCTCCATGACTGCGTCTGAGCAGCACAGATGATCGTGCTGGGAGGGAGGATGAAAAAGTTCTGACCAGTTAAACCTGCTGATGGTTTCAACATGTGACTGAGCACCTCTGCAGGGTAACATCTGGAGCCTGTCTTTGTCTCTTCAGGGTGAACTCGATCCGTGTGGAGAGCGGAGCCTGGATCTGCTACGACCACCCTGACTTCAAGGGCCAGCAGTACATCCTGGAGCACGGCGAGTACCCAGAATTCCAGAGGTGGAACTCCCACAACGACCACATGGGATCCTGCAAACCCATCCGCATGGTGAGCACCTCTGACGGGGTCGTGATTGTTTAAAGAGCACAGATGAGGTGATCTGACAGATCTGAGATTTTACTGCTGTCAGGAAACACAATTTCATCTTCTTTTTAAGTCACACTTTTAAAAATGTCAGACGTTTGTTTTTCTTGTGTTAGTGAAAGACTGACTCTGTGAGTCTTTTCCACTGAGGGGAAACCATCTTTTCTCACTTTGGGGTGAAGCACCTTCATCCTGAAGCTACAGCTGCTCCGTCCGGTCTGTGATGTAGGTTTTGTTGTTGGATTCTGACCTAATCATGTCCGTCTGTCCGGCAGCACGGCGAGCACTACCGCATCGAGCTGTTCGAGGGCTGTAACTTCTCCGGTCAGTGCGTGGACATCTGCGACGACTGCCCCTTCCTGCAGAGCCGCGGCTTCTCCAAGAACTGCATCAACTCTGTGAAGGTCTACGGAGACGGAGCGTGAGTTTCTCGTTTACCAGAAACCTTAATGTTGATGTTCCTGCTCCCCAGGGGATAAACTTTGGTGATCTTTAACCTGAGATTAGTATTAGGACAATATTCCTAACATGCTAACAGGAAATATTTATCATTCAAGTAAAGGTCAGTTGTTGACATATTCCTGCTCCCCAGAGGATGAACTCTGTAGACTTTATTGCTGCTGGCAGCTTAGACTGTGGGGCTCATTATTTATTATCCCCAGATGATGAAATATGACACAGTAATGTTCTTGTTCCTGGAAGGCTTGGCTGATGATTGATTTGATTTGATTGATTGAGTTCAAACTTTAGCTTTCAGGATTTTTCTCGCTCATGTCCCCCTGAGGATGAACCTGGAGACCAGTAGAACTGTTTTTCATCCTCAGCTTATTTTTTCTATTTAGTGCTAATGTTAGCATGCTAACAACCTAAGGTTAGACATGTTAGCACGACTTAATATAATAGAAAAAAGTCTGAAGATGTTTTAAGGCGGAACATATTTAAACATCATTCAGAATCCTCCTTAACAAAAGTGTGACAGGTTAATAAAAGCATGTTCCTCACTTTAACCCCGCCTCTCTTCCCTCCTTGCTCCGCCTCCAGCTGGGTGATGTACGAGGAGCCAAACTTCCGTGGCCGCATGTACATTGTTGAGCGTGGAGACTACTGCAGCCATAACGAGTGGCAGGCCCAGAACCCCAACATCCAGTCCATCCGCAGAGTCGTCAACTACTTCTAAACCCCTCTGACCTCTGACCCCCAACCCTGACCAGCCCCCCTCCCCTGTGACTGTAATCATGTACGATAAATAAACTCAGACTAAAATAAGAAAACAGGTTTTTTATCAAACAGTCTGTGTGTGTGTTGATTTGTGTTTTCATTCCTGCTGTGACAAAAGAAATTATAATCTGGATTAATACAGATAACAGAAAAAATCTGTTTCTGACAGGTGGAGTGTTAATTGAAACTTCTGACAAAGTTTTAAAGATGCATTGTGGTGAATCACACTGATGATGTAAAAGGCTCACAAAAATTCATGTATTCATATGATGCATATGATGTGTTAGAGGGTTAGGAGACCTTTAAATATGTCTGTGAAGGTTTGCAGTCATCCAGGTCAGAGTAATCTATGGAGCTTGGCAGAGAATCCCAGAATTTTAAAGCCTTATTGGGAGTGTCCCTAAGAGGGTCATGGACCCACTACTGACCCTCTTAGGGACACTCCCATAGGGCTTATAAATCTGGACTCTACCAGTTGCTCTTAGAACTGAAGAAGCTTCTCAGATGAGAGGCCAAAAGTCTTCAAGAAACTTAAAGTCCAGACGCTTTTCTCTCCAAGATCCTTAGACTAGGGGTTTTCAACCATCAACCATTTAGATTTAAGGAGTAACAGAAAATGTGAAGGAATAATAAGTTGGTCTGTAATTATGAACTGCGTGAATGCATCGATCTTTAAAGCACTTTTTGGCTCCGGGCTAAATTCCTGGAGAATTTAGATCAAGTTAGTACTCAGAGGCCCCTCCGTGAATCGCTACCTCATCGTGGTGGAAGGTTTGTGTGTCCCAGGGATCTTGTGTTGTCGGGTGCTTTTGCACTCTGGTAGGGTCTCCTGTGGCAAATCGGTCCTGGGTGGGCCACCAGACAAAGAGCGATTCAAAATCTCCAATAAGAAGTAGATCCAGATTGTCTGCACTTAGCATCAGTTCAGAGTACCCGGCCTTCCTGAAGTCCTTGGGTGTGGTGCTTGAGGGTGCTCCACCTCGGGACTCGTCTTACTGGGAGACTTCAACACTCACTTGGGCAATGACAGTGTGACCTGGAGGGGCGTGATTTGGAGGAATGGCTTGTCAGATCTGAACCCTGGGGTGGATGTTGTAGGGCTGTCTTGGTTGACACACATCTGCAATATTGCGTGGAGATCAGAGGCGGTACCCTGGATTGGCAGACCGGGGGTGGTGGTTCCCATCTTCAGGAGGAGAGGCAGAGAAAGTATTCTAACTACAGGGGGATCACACTCCTCAGCCTCCCTGGGAAAGTCTATGCCAGGGTGCTGGAAAGGAGAGTCCGTTCGTTAGTCGAACCTCAGATACAGGAGGAACAATGCAATTTTCATTCTGGTCGTGGAACACTGGACCAGCTCTCTATCCTGTCAAGGATACCTGAGGGTGCATGGGAAATTGCCCAACCAGCCTGCATGTGTTTTGTGGACTTGGAGAAGGCATTCGACCGTGTCCCTCATGGTGTTTTGTAGGAGGTGCTGCGGGAGTATGGGGAGTCTTTGCTACGGGCTATTTGATCCTTACACAACTGCTGCAAGAGCTTGGTCCACATAGCTGGCAAT